TATTATTTAGGAATAATTTCAATATAATTACCTAAAGTCACATATGTTACAGTTTTAAAAAGCAAGAGAATGCCATTTTTGACAAGTATCAAACAGCTTTTCAATATGTAAAAAGAGAGATTACACAAGAAATTATGTTAGAAAAAGCAAAACATTGAATTTCCTGCAGCCTGCTAATTTATGTCTGCGTGAGACTTCTTGCCTTGTGGTCTGTTGGAAAATTGTCTTTACAAAAAATATTTCTACTAAAATTTTAATATTGATTTTAATATCAATTAACTCTAAAAGTTGAGGGGCCACACTTTGTGGCTATGGGGGCCGCATGTTTGACACAGCTGGCTTAGATGGTATATTTTCTCATCATGTTTCAGCATATAGTATTACATAGTGGAGGATTCATATCAGCATTATAAGGGAGCTATAAAATATTTATGAAGCAGCAGTAATATATGAGAATCTATATGTGAAATTTTATTTCCCCCCCCCCATAGCTATTGCCACATTTGTAATAACTATTACTTGATTGTGGTTATCAGGTTGAACAGATACTGCGTGTAGAGATGACATCACTTCAGAAGCAATACTACAAATGGATTCTTACAAAAAATTACAATGCATTGAGGAAAGGCGTGAAAGGTTCATCAACAACTTTCCTTAATATTGTGATTGAATTGAAGAAGTGCTGCAATCATGCTTTTCTGACAAAGCCTGTGGATTATGAACAAAGGCCATCTCCTGAAGAACATATTCAGCAGCTGATAAGAGGGTCTGGAAAATTGGTATTGCTTGATAAACTGCTAGTTCGGTTGCGTGAGACTGGTCACCGAGTGCTTATATTCTCTCAGATGGTTAGGATGTTGGACATACTGGGTGAATACTTACAGCTGCGACACTTTCCTTTTCAACGATTAGATGGAAGTATTAAAGGTGAACTCCGGAAGCAGGCATTGGACCATTTCAATGCTGAAGGTTCTCAGGACTTCTGTTTCTTGTTGTCAACAAGAGCTGGAGGTTTGGGTATCAACTTAGCTACTGCAGACACTGTAATCATCTTTGATTCTGACTGGAACCCACAGAACGATTTGCAAGCTCAGGCTCGAGCACATAGAATTGGACAAAAGAATCAGGTGTGTTCATATTCTTTTATTTATATATAGTAGGTTAGTTAATGGTGGACATGCTGCAGTGAAATGTGCTCATAATAATTAATGAGGAAACAGGAACTCACATTTAAATTCTGTACTGTGCATTATTAATTGTTTGGTTTATAATGCCACACTTTTACAGTTAATTCATTTTTGCTTTTAACCTCAACTGGTTGACAAATTTGGAACTTACTTTTTATTTGGTCACCACTTGGGCAAGTTACATTATCCAGTTATCCACTGCAGTTCTGTTGAGTGATTTCAAGATATTCCCAAACTTGTCTGCCAGAGATCTCCACAGTTATGTGACCACAGTGTCATCTAGGAGCAGAGTATGGAGCTCTATGAGTGACCAAAAATGGCATATAATTTGCCGTCACTCATCTCTTTGTCATGAGTGCACTGTGATTCACTTGGTATCCTATTAACCATCTACTGTACACAGCACTCTAGTGACATTTTCTGATATATTGTTAATCAATCAATAAGGTTTTCAGTACATATTGGATACTAAAATGTCTTATTTGGAGCATGGCAGTCATTTGATCATCTGGTGGATACATTTGTTCTATTTCATAAGCTGGTGCCCTATAAGCTACATAGTCATTAAAGTTGTTTAAGTTAATAAAATTATGACTTTTGGATTTAAAATTTTTAAGTTCAATTGAAATTGAGGTTTAAATTAGAATTGGAATTTGTGTTCCCATTGTTATTGAGATTGGAGCTGAAGAGTGAAAGAAACTGTTCATCCAGCACTGAAATGTAACACATATAGTCTTTAATTACACTTATTACCAAAAGCCATGCCAAAATATTGATAAATAATATTTTAATTCAGGCATTAAGCACCAATAGAGAACCAGTCTGGAAACTTTGACCAATGCAAAGAAAAAACAACACAGAACACCACTGCATCGTAATTGAACTCCTACCAGAATAACAGCAGGAGCACTAATCGTTTGAATTCAGACCTCAGTTTCAACAAAATTGAATTCTTTAAAATAAAAAGTAAATCTTGATTTTATTGTTAGTTTTAATGACTGTGCAGCTTATAAAACAAATATATTGTCATGTGTTGAGTGTATGTCACGCGACAAATAACTTCACGCCTTATTTGATATAGCGAATTTATTGAACACTCGCTCTTACAATCTCACAATTATTGCCATCTGCAGTATCACAATTACTTCTGCTGCTTCCATTTACTCCGGCGAATGCTAGAGCAACTGGCTGGTTACTCCCTCTCACTAGTAACTCACTCACTCATAACTGGCTCAATCCTCACTACTGAATAGTGTTCGCTGCTGTTGCGTGACGCTGTGCTTACAGGTTGCCTAGCAACACTGTCGAGAGTTGTTTACTGCTGTGTAGTAACCACGGTATCCCTTGTTACATCACCGCAGCAATGGTTGCCAGACACAGTTGCTCCTCTGTTACGTCACCGCGGGGGGGGGGGGTGGTCGGGCTGTTCGTGGTGATGGAGGC